TTTCATCAGATAGGCTTTTGTAATTATGAGAAATAACATATGATATATGATACATATATATATATATATATATATATATATATATATAATTTAGTTTTCTGGAAAATGTGTATTGCAAGAGGCCTTTATTTGTTCTCTATGTGAGTTTGTTAATTACTTTTATGTGGTATATTTTATTTCTTAATTTTTATGTCATGGTAAAAATATACTCAATTATAAGCCCAGTGAACCATTTGAAGATAACAGATATATGAGGTAAAAATGCTACTTCTCTCACAACTATAGAAAATCATTGTCTTAATTCTCATTTTTATCAGTGGAAAAATGGGGCTAGTAACATGATCTATCTCAGGATTTCATGGAGGAACATAGTTCAGATACCTAGTATTGACCAAGTGTCAGCAAACATCTGTATTTTACCCTCATTACTTTTTCTCCTATGTATTACAAGCAAAAATCAACACTTCATTTTCTTCTACTCATAAAACAGAAAGTTGATGGTGATGGTGGTATCAGAGACCAAACTTGTGGAATTAACAATTAACCCCAGGAGGCAGGTTTGGTACTACTTCTCAAAGTTGCTGACACAGCAATGATAAGGGATGAGAGATTAGTGTGAGAAATTGTCTGGAAACACCTCATTTTTAAATTTTATTACTTCATATTAAGTTTTTATAATCACCATATTCTACAAATATTGCTATAGCATTTTATAGCATTTTATTGTTTAACTGATTAACTGGAGGACAGTAAAAGTGTCTAGTGGAAAGCTTTGCCTACCTCACAAAATGAGGAAAGGAAAGGGTGTTTGGGTAATCCTTCAACTCTTTATTTTACACATATGCAGCTGGGTACGGAACAGGCACTGAAATGGCTGAATAATAAAGGGAGCTCTCATATTACCTTCTCTCTTAGGACTTGTTTACATACAAAAGAAAAATACCCTAAAGGAGTTAGTTTTCTAAAGCACTACTATGAAAGGTATAAAATATCACTCATAAAAATTTGGTGAATTTACCAGCTAATTACTTTTGAGATTGATATAACATGTATGCTTTGTGTCAGAGAAGATGTGCCTACATGACACAAAGTACTATGAATATACATGTCCACACATAAAACTCACATATCATGTGGCTTGATTCATGTGTTCATGCAAGTGTCTACTAAGTATCTCTCAGCAGTAGACATTACTACCACTGAGGATATAGGGATGAACAGAGCTGGTACAATTTCTCACACTGCTTCTGGGTCTCTCCATCCTGAAGCTTATGGAACACATGTAGCTGAAGGCAGCTAGGAATGACGCTTAACACAAAATTGGAAACATACTTAAAACACTGAGATGTTGTTTGCAATTTCTTTGTAACTAAATTGCATATCAGTTAGCATGATTTTTACAGAAGACAGCATCACATTGCAGTGTATAAAGGCTGGATATAACTACAAGCCTGATGGATAATATCAAATTAAAGAAATCTTAGAAATGAATACTCATTTATTTTGGTTAGAGCTGAAAAAATTTACATAATGTCAGCCAGTGACTTGTCCAATAAGAAGATAATTAGAATTATAAGAAAATAAAATTGTATTTGACAAAAAGTATTGTCCTATAGCACAGTTATATATGGAAAGAAGAAATGTCTTGACTATGATTATCCATAAAAAGATGGGGACCATGGTTTGAGGAAGGGATGAGACAAAATGCCCACCAAGAATGCTTTAATAATACCAAAAGGACATGAAAATATTGTCTGATGAAGCCAGAGCCCCAAGTAGAAAGGATATTGGCCTAGAGGAATGGAAGGAGTTAGCTAGTCCAGAGTACACAGACATCACAGTGGTTCATGGAATGGAATGTGAAATAGGAGGAAAGCTGGAAAAATGTTTGAGAGATGCAGGAAATGAACATAATTTAGAATAGAGCTGTGAGAGCAAGGCATATGAAGGCTACTGAGGACAAGCAGCATGGACCCTCCAATGTGAGGCTGAGGATCCAAAGCTCAGCCGTGTAGAAGAGTGTTCTGTTAATGTAGAATCTACAACCCTCAAGAAGTTGTCTTTAAATAATAACTCTAGGAATTGCAATCCAGACTATGAAAAGTTGTGATATGTTTACCATGGAAGTTTCATTATTTTGTTTATAGCTACTTAGTGACAGAAGCCCATATAGCATTACAGTAAATCAGAGGCAAGGTTGTGCTTGGTTCAGTTGGTAGCCTGACAGAAAAGTTAGAATACTAGGGAAAGTAGAATTCTCTTCTGCTATGTAATGTGGATTTCCTATATGCTAAACACGGTGCTGAGAACTACAGTATCAAGAAAAGCAAGGCCATGCTACACTGAATATTACATTTCAATAGGAAAGGTGAAGAGCATGTGTCAGCTATTGTAACTGCTACACAGAAAGAACAGGGTTGACATGTTTGCAAGAG